CACAGGTAGGGTGTTGATGAGCTACAGAGCACCTGGCAGAAGAGAAGATAAATTCCACAGGTGAGGCCAACCCACCAGTGTTAAACCCCGATTTCTGCTCTACATCCTATTGCTGCCAAGTGCACAGAGCCATAATCCTGACTGTGGCCACCACTGCTGACTTAATCTTACACAGGGACGTGATCTGAGCCATTTTCCTCCTTCCCTTGTGCCTGACCACACACTTGCTTACCAGTATCCTGTGGCTTGCACAGGAGACCCTGTACTTAAAAGCTGCTGCTATAGGAGCTGCATGGCTTTCCACTGCTGCTGTCAAGGTGTTCCTGCTATAGGAAGGCAGAGGAGCAGCTGGGTCCTCACCTGAATTCTTTATCCTGGTCCTTCTCTCTTGGACTGTCCTTTCTCTGTACCTTAACATATTTCAGCATCTGCAATGTGCAGGTCTCCAGTGTGGAAGAAGACATCATGCCCACCTCTTTCATCTTTAAGGCTTAAAGTCCGCTGTTGCCACTCTGCCAAAGTAACATACATTTTCCCATGTACTAGTCTACCAAAAGCTGAAATGTGGTGATTTCTCTGTTCCAGCTGAGAGCCAAAAAAGCATCCTGCTGTTCAGATCCTTCATTAAAGGAAAGACAACTAAATTAGCTGCCCTGGGGATCACATAAAGGCCTGGAGAACGTAAAAAAGATTAAAGGGAAAAAAAAACCCAACTATTGACACTGGTGTCTTAATTAAAACTTTTGAAAGCACAACTGAAAACACACTCCAGTCATCCTTCAAGCCCCTGCAAAAGTTAGTAAGATGAATTTTTCTTACAGTCTCCCATCGATCCATGAAGTGCAAAGAGGGAGTCAGAAATACAGATGAAAAATTGTGGGTGTGGTGCTAGACGCCAACTGCATTTACAGGAGTGTAATTCCAACATGACCCCTTGCAGGCCCCACTGGCATTATTCCAGATGGCACTACTGGGTGGTGCTATGTGGCCAAGAGTGTGCCTTGAATGACAGAAGCAAAAAATGATGCTGAAAAAGCCCACCTCATGCACCAAATGTAATGAAAATCAAACTCCAGGTACTGTGGGTTTGCTTCTTCAGTGGAAAAGGAGGCGATAATTACATCTTTGATTTACAGATAATAAAAATTGTGGGGGTTTTATTTTAATTTTTAAAAATCCATCCTACCTCTTCCCCTGGTTACACACTGTTTCCAAGTCTCTAAAAACCCAGCCCAACAGCGAGAGAATGAAGAGACTGCAAACTCCCTTGAAGAAGAGAGAGTAGATTTGGTCTCCCACAATTATAGCGGCCTTCCAGTACCTGAAGGGGCTACAGGAAGGCTGGGGAGGGACTTTTTACAAGGGCAGGTAGTGATAGAACAAGGGGCAATGGTTATAAACTGGACAAGAGTAGATTTATATTAGATATGAGGAATAAATTCTTTCCTGTGAGGGTGGTGAGACACTGGAACAGGTTGCCCAGAGAAGCTGTGGATGGCCCCTCCCTGCAAGTGGTTAAGGTCAGGTTGGATGAGGCTTTGAGCAACCTGGTCTAGTGGAAGGTGTCCCTGCTGATGGCAGGGGGGTTGGAACTAGATGATCTTTAAGGTCCCTTCCAACCCAAACCATTCTATGATTCTGTGAATTTGCAATAAACATCCCCTACTCACACAAAAACAAACACAAGGTTCTTCAGGCACACAAGTCTTTTAAGATCTATTTAACCCAGCTTAATGCAGAAAGATCACAAGTTTGATTCAGACCGGGTCAGGTCTAGCTATTAGCTTAAAGCAAATGTCCTCTTTGTCTTGGGATAACCAGCAAGCATCCTCTCCCTGATGAGGATTTCTGCTCACACAGGAACAGCCACAAAGTGGGAAATTTAGAGTGGAAACTACCCTGCGGAGTGTCCCACACACCCCGTGCTGATCTGGAGGAGATGGTCCCCATATGTGCATTCCAGGGAAAGCGGGTGAAATTCCATCAGTGTCCCTGAGGGAGCTTCAACATGAAGAGGATCTGCCTCATTTTCCTGAGTTGGATGTCAGAGGAGATATCACGCTGCTCCACTCCTCCTGCAGATGGATTTGGGGCACAGAGCAGTGTCTCAGGAGATGGCACCTGGTTGGAATGAGACATGGCAGAGGGACAACAGTCCCAGTCTCCCATCACAGGTTCCTCCAAAGCACAAAAATTCCCAAAGAAAAATAACAAGTATTTGCATAACGTGGGCTTGGAGAAGTTTGTTATTCTTTGCCAGTTTTTGTGAGGTTGTTGGGTTTTTTTTTTTTGGGGGGGGGGCAGTTTTTTGTGGGGGTTTTTTGGCATTTGGGTTTTGGCGTTTTTTGTTTTTTACATAATACTACTGCTCATTAGTGAGCACTCTGTTATTTCCTAGGAGAAAAGAACTGAGAAACTTTCTCAGCAGAGTCATAAAAGGGTCATTAGGAAAAGTTGATTTAGAAGAGGTGTAAATGAGCAATTTTATGGAAAGAAGGGGAGAGGGAAGAAGGCAGGAAAAATGTGCCCTCTGCAGACACACACTGCTTTCTTTAAGTCACTGTTTGGCTTTATAAATCCTGTTAACAGTGAATCAGTGCTCTTCAGGAAAGAGAAGGTCCTAGAACAGGTCCTGAGCTACCCAGGATAAAGTCTGTGGCAGGACAGATGCCACCGCAGCAGGACAGATGCCACCGCAGCAGGACAGCAGAAGGCAGAACAAGACAGGTTTGCATCAGACCATGGGCACAGGTGCCCTGACAGCCAATGCACACTCCCCTCTGCCCTGGGGCACCAACCTTCAGACACCCAAGAGGTGATCTGTCAAAGCTACAGGTAACCTCCTAGGCAAGAGAGAGACCAGGGCTTTGCTAGTTTTGGATGAGGCTGAAACAAGGACACTGCCCCTGGGATCTGTCCCTACTCCACTGGAGGGAGACAACTCTGCTCTGTGTGGGGTTTGCACTTGCCTTTGGCTTCTGTACAGAGGAAGGGGCTCCACAGAAGGGCACCCAATCTCCCCAGCACTCAGGTCAGAGGTGACGTAGCAGCAGCTGCTCCAGATGCTCTGTGGGTGCCTGGACCAGGCAAGCTCGGGCTCTAGCACCGTGAATTACCTTCTGGTGCCCTCTAGTGCCAACAGCCAAGTGAGGTGGCCTTGCACAGAGCCGGGTGGGAGGAAGGCTGTGGCTGCTGGATTGCACTTCACCACCCTCTCTGCCTTTGTTAGTCTCGGTCCTCACTCACACCAAACCCTGTCAAAGGGCCTGCTAGTGGTGTCCCAAAGCTCTCGTTTTAAGCAAGGAAAGAACCTACGTTCTAGAAAGGTCTCCTCAAATCCCTGAGCAGACCTTCACACTGCGCCCCTTTCAACTCAAATCAAAAGGCTGTGAGCTCATCAGGAAGCAAAGCGAGCAGGCATGGAGGTCCTGCGGGAAGCCTGAACCCCTTTACGGTGCATCATGTGGCAGGGTGACAAATGGGCTCTTGCAACACACAGGGGAGGTGTTGGATCCAGTGACGAGGGTCCCAACCGCCCTCTTGCATGTTGTAGGAGGACTCAAGGTGCAAGACAGAGACACTCCCCCAGAGACTCTCAGTGAGGTACAACTGTAGAGCACAGTTCTTGAGGAGAAAGGGAGGGCTAAAGATACTTGAATCTTCATGTAGAGGAATGAGTCCTGTGCCACAGTTGAGTGACAGGTCACTGTGGGAGCTCAAAAAAAAAAAAAAAAGGGGGGGGGGCAAAAAAACAAACAAACAAATAAAAAATCCACCATATAGCCCCTCTCATTCTCTCAACATTTTCCACAGGCTTTGGCATGATTCAGAAGCTCTATGCAAGTAGGACTGATGATAAATGCGCCTCACCATGGTTGCCCCATTCCTTCTTGGTGGGAGGTTTCAACAGAGGGCTTACCACATCCCTTCCTACACGAGCCTACATTAGACTTTCCTTCAGGCAATAAGATGTCTTTCCTCAGAAATGAGCACAGTTCATTGGGAGGGCAAGTGAAAGGCAACCACCATCTTCCTGCTCCCCTGAAACAAATACACACATACAGACTGAGGTCCACCACACCCAGTGAGAAACAAATTCATCTCCCAGTCTCCTGAATCTGGCAGCTTGTTGATTTCAGGTGCAACACAAGGTCTGACAACCAACTCCTTTCCCCAGACTTGTAAGTTCCTCAGCATGGACCAACATTGCCTAGAGATGACCTCCCTGGAAAACAAGCACTGACCCTGGGGAATCCAACCCCAAGGCTGAAAAGCTCTGCAATCCAGAGAGCCAAACCACCCCCCTCTCCTTGTGTTTCTCTTGCTCTCTGAAGAGCACCTAGAAAAAACCTCACCTCCTCTGAGCCTAACACAGCCCTTTCCTGTTGTCAAAACACCTTTCGTAAATGTGGGGCGCAGTGTCATCTGCCACTGAAACCAAAAACCTCTTCCTACTGGCTCTGCTCTACGCAGCCCCCTCAGGTAGATACTCCTTCACCCAAACTCTGTATCTTCACACCAGGGGAAGCAAGACACTGGGCCCATCTCCTCTGTCAAGCTTCTCCCCACACAGATACCCATACACAAGTCCAGAACTACATCCCTAGGGCTCACTGCCCATTTCTTGGAGATTAAATTTCCCCATAAACCTCAAAGCACGACTGTTACACTCCTTAACCCCACACCACTTTCCAGTGTTACATCACACATATCTGCCCATGCTTCTGCACAACCCCTGAGGATCATGAACCAAAAGTCCCTGTCAAATTTAGGACTGGTGCTGCTATCACCAAGCCAGAGTTTTGCGGTGGTGCTTTGAGATGTGTGGTCATCAGCATGAGACCAAGTCTGCATCAGAGCTGCGATGATTCAGGGGGTTTTAGGGTGATTTTTTTCTTTCCTCCCAGCCAATAAGAGCACTCAAAGAGGCACATCTTCTCCAGCAGGAAGCCAGGCGGTCGCTCCTCTCACTGGCAGACTCCTCTTCTGAAGTGGTAGAGATGGCAGTGAACATCACCTGCAGCTTCGCCACACTCTGCTGTTTAGCAGTCTGGGGCTTCAGGATTTCAGATGGTAAGAGTGGAAAATAATTTCTGTTTTCCTTGTGCTTTAGGTCCTGTGAGTGCTGCTTTCTAATGCATCGGTAACTAACAGCCCTGCTCCAACTGCTGCCCACGCTGGCTCAGCACTGCAGGGCTCAGACTGCAGCTGAAAATCCAACTGCTTGAAAGACTTTCTCTCCTTGTAGCAAACCATGTTATCCAGGGGTGTCATCTAAGGATTTTAAAGTCAACTTTTGGTTTTAACTTATTTGTCAGTGTTTAAACTCTGCATGACCTTGATTATTAAATCTAAAGACCGTGGGTAACAATTTGACTACTAAGTACAGATGGGCACTTGAGCGCCGATTAGCTGACTGTAATGAAACATTACTCCGTAGCATTTCTTTCTTTGCTGAGCAAGGCAACTCTTTTGATTGCAGCTGGCCTTAAATCTTTAGAATGGGAGCTGCAGACAGGAGTGTTTTCTCTCTGAAGGCTTTAGTTCTACTTCAGTCTTACTTTGGCTCCCATACACAGAAAGTACTAATGCACTCAGGGATGGTGTTTGGTCAGCCAGTACCTTTTTGTTTCAGCTGTGGTTTCCTTTGGGGGTTACAGAGGCATGCAGGAACTCTGCTGTGTCTTAAATGTAAAGATAAAGCCTAGCCTTGCACGTAGTAATGGGGAGGAGGTTCTGAAAGCACCCCATGGGGGGGGAAGGCAACCAGTTGTAATGTGCCTGTTTGCTTCACTGCAGGCTGGGAGAGAGCATCCCCAGGGTTGCTGTCTTATACTGCAGGAATAGTGCCCCAAATTATTCCTCAGTGAGGAAAGCACAAGAGAGGGCCTCTTAATACCACATTCAACTCGTCTCTGCAAGAACAGCCATGTCTTGCTTAATAACGGGCAGTTGCCTGTTAACTCACAGCAAGAATAGGGTCTATCCTACCACCATCTGGGAGAAGCGGGAGGGACAGATTTTTCTGCTCTCTTCACATTTCCAAACCCAAAACTAAGTATAGGGTCTGAAATACAAATACTCTGGAGATAAGCATCTCCCTGTGGAGCAGTAAGAGCTGTTTTCCCAGGTCATGAGATCACATCCTTTAGTGTTACAGGTGCCTGACCAGGTCACGCAGTGCCTCTGCTCCCACCCAGGCCTGGGCTACAAGTGTTTCACCAATACTGATGTGTCTAGAGCCTTGCCCTGTCATCTGACCCTCTGGGCCATTCTCCTTTGCTCTTGGAGTGGGGCCGTCATCTTACACACATTCAACTTTTTGAGGTAATGGGTCTCAAGGGCCAAGCTAGAAAAGAAGCTGACAGGAAAGGTTGCAGTGAAGAAAATCAGGATTACAGGTGTCTCACACCAGAGAGTATCTGGGTTTTGGAAATACAGTGGTGGAAACTATTCCAAACAGCAAAAGAGGTTTCAGACAGTCTGTGCTCCATGCAGTGACCACCTTGAATGAGAACCAAAGCACATCAAGAAAACCAAATCCTAGCCTTGAGGAATCTGGGTGACCAGAGGAAAATAGGGGGGTAAAGTTCTCCCACAGGGCTCAGTAGATTTTATACCCACTTTGCTGTGGTATGAGCCATTCCCAACACCAAGATGCAATGGGTGAAGGAGGTGAAATGCACGGTACCTCTTGGTGAAAGCCGGGGCAAAAATATACTAGCCTACCTCCTGCCTACAACACATGGTGTATTACCAGCCTGTGATCTGTCTACAACACATGATCCAGCTTGCAAGCCTGTGAGCCTACCTCTCCAGATGATGCATCTCAGAGGCCTTGCCACATGCGATACTGCTGATCTACCAGCACTGGAGTCAGGAACACACTTTGGACTCCAACTCTTGCTTTGAGCAACACATTTCATAGTTTTCTTCCCATACACACAGTGTGACTTCAGCCAGCCTCACTCACCCTGCCACCCCATGCCTAAAAAAAGGCGTCACCATGACTCAAGAGGTGTTGAGGACTATTCAGCTGCAAAGGGACCTTGTGCTAAGACTGAAAAAGACTGCGGTTATCTCCTCCTAGTACCAAGGAAGAGTATCTGCTGTCAACATACCCACCACTGCCACATCTGACTTTACAACAGGCATAAGAGCATAGATTCAAGCAAGGTCCTGGAAAGTAGACAGAAGAGCCCAAGCCAGTGACCTGCTCTCAGCCTGGCAGCCTCAGCTGCTAGGTGAGCTCAGGAAAAAGCTCATTCCTGAGTTGGTATTGATAGCACAGGGAAAAGCACTGCATCCCTGAGGAAGGGTACAGCTGGCTTTATGGACAAACAGATACTCTGGAAAGTCTTACCCATGAGCTGAACACTGGATAAGATGTGCTGATTAAAAAATACATTCAGTCCTAAGCTGCATGGTCATGAGTTTCTGACTTTTGAATCTCACCCTTGCTGCAGTGGGAAAATACCACCCCATAGAGAAGTGAATTCCAGGCCGTTAGGTGAAAAAACACTACCAAGTATCCCAGCACTAGCTGCACAACCAGTCCCAACACAGATCAAACACACAGGATAGGAAAGCTTGTCACCTCCACACCAGACACAAAGCCACCTGCAGAATATCCGCTCCTCTCACCTCCGCCTGGGTCTCAGCTCCCACCTGCAATATGGGGGTCATTAAGGTAGCTGGGGTATCAGCCTAGAAGTGATGTGAATTTGGACATCCCTGGGTTGAAGAGGGAAGTGGAACCGAGTCTCTCCCTTGCAGGTCAACACTTTAATCCCTAAGCACTCTGACAAGGGGGTGCAGCCATTACCTCCTGTGGAGGAGGATATGATAATGTAACTGGAACATGTGTCAGCAACCTGAAAGTTGAATTTTTGCAGCCTCCTGTGCGGATGATGGCATGTAATGCTGGAGTTCTGAGCATTTTTTAAATACTTTGGATCGCCAGGTTTCCCCTCTCTCTTCTACTTGGGTTTCTCAGTACAAACTGGCTTAAATACACAGTCTATGCTCTGTGTTTGGCTGTTAGTGAGAGACCTAGCTGTGAAAAAAACCTAGAGGTGATAAAAAGCTTGAATTTCACAGCAAACTTAGTACAAGTGGTGTGTGCACACACACAGGCAGGCTCACTGCCTACACACACAGAGCATGAACTCCAAGGGCCACCTTCTGTGCTGGCAGGTCTTGGCATCAGCAGTAGCTGAAGGGCAACTTGAACAGATTGACGATGTCTTAATGTTGTTTGTATTTCAGAAGCAGGAAAATGGAGGGGAAGACAAATATAAAAGGGGGGGAAATAACATCCACTGTAAGCTTTGAGCTTCTTTTAAATCATTGACAAAACAAGCAGGGGATGGGGAAATTAGGTACACAACCAAGTAAGAATATACAGTAGTAAGGACTATGCAGAAAGGACTGCTCAAACTTGAAAACTCTTGGTTTCCCCTCCCACCCCCAATCTCCATTTCCTATACACCTTCCTCCTCCACTTCATGGCTGCAATAAGATGGTCCTTGGCATTGAATCAGAGCAACAGCACTTCAGCCCCCAAAACAGCCCGTTCTGCAGGACAGTGGGAAGCTAGTCCAAGTTCTGCCCCAGGCGCTTCCCTGCCCAGCTGGAGAACAGGGACCACCTAATCCCCCCTAAAATAAAAACCTCAAGATGCCATCAAAAGATTAAGGGCAGGGGGAAAGGAAGATTTATGTCTACAAGTTAAACCTGGCATACAAACTAAGAGCAGCAGGGCTCGGCCTGTTATCAAAATTAGGCTGTACTTTGATCAACACAACCTAGATTCACAGCTGGATTTAAAGCTGGGCTTTCTATGAGCCAGGAGTTATACCAGAGATGTTAAACTCATGATATCCTGACTTCTTCTAAGTCAGTGTGAGCTCCACTACCACTTCTAGCAGCGTCTTTTTACGTCACTTCATTCAACAGGATTGTTTTGCCATTCCAAACACAAAAAGGAACATTACTTTGTAATGGATGTACTTCTGAAGCACAAGTGCACTGGACAAGTAAGAAGGTTTAGCATTGGTTCAGAGGGCTGAAGCTCTCACCATTTCAGGCACCTGATGTGTTTTGCACTCATGTTTTGTGTTGTTTCAGCTACATCTGTACAACCACCTCATTCGACCATGAAACCTGGCTCCCCTGTCCCAATGAACACCAACAACCCTGGCGTTCGCAAGGCAGCTCGCTTTGGGGTTTACAGATACAACAACAGTTCCAATGACCTCTTTCTGTTTAAGGAATCACAAATAAACAAAGCCATGGTACAGGTAAGAACAAGGCAGACTTCTGGTGGTCCTCCAAACTATTTACCAATTGACCCTCCTACAGAGCACCCAAGATATGGCAGCCCTGATCCTCCTCAGGACAGCTATGCATGCCTAAAAATAAACAGCATGTTTGTCTATGCCATTCAACTGCTCCATAGGAGGGTTCTGCCCATGCTCCCCCCCAAGTAATTCAACACAGAACACTTCAGTCCCCACTACCACTCACAACTTACAGATGTAGCACTTGATTCCTAGCCAAAATTTTGGCATCCCTTTCCCCTGCCCTTACTTTAAAGGAGGAAACTACTTTCTCTAGATTGTCAGAGGACTGAAATACATGCTCCACGTGGAAATTGGACGCACTGTGTGTGAGAAGAGAGAGCACTCCAGCCTGGACAGCTGTCAATTCCAGAGGAAAAAAAACCTGAAACAGGTACGTGTCCAATTCCTTCGGGGTACCCAGTAAGTGCAGGTGACTCTTGGCCATCTCTAGCTGTGTAGTCACCTTCAGACCAGCTCTGCCATGTCCCCACAGATGGACAGAGCCAGCTGGAGTGAGTTGCGTTACCAGTATAAGCAGCATAGTACCTCTCATGATCCAGGGCCAGTTCCCATCTGCTAGGAGTTGAACTAGACACAGCCCATATTCCTGGATAAATGAGTGAAATTGTGCAGAAATAGAGTAGGTTCTAAATACAGATTCTTCCTGGGAGGGGAAAATCCTTGCAGAGTCTTTCCCACTAAGAGATGATTACTTGGCAAACAGTACTTTGCCCTGAAAAAAGGGGGCAGACAAAAAGATACTCTTCTCTCCTGCCCCATCATGGCCTACAACACTGTGAACAACCAGCAGCCACCTGAGCTTTGTCACCAATTCCCCTTTTATTTGCAGATGCTGAGATGCTATTTTGAGGTCTGGATAACACCTTGGTTACATAAAGCGTATGTCCCCGTTGCTCTCTGTCACTGACTCACCTTCCCCCTTGAGAGCTTGGCTTACAGGGGATCTGCCACCATGAGATTTTCCTTACTTGGACTGTTGAGGCCAAAACTGAAGTGAGGAATGGCTGTACAGAATCACCACAGAGCTTTTCTTTCAAAGCACATGGTTGCTTCTTTCCCTGAGAAAGATGTTCAAAACCTGGTGAAAAAGAAAAGACTTGCCTTGACTGAATTTATTGCTATCCAGTTGTATATCTGTTTTTCCAAAACTAAACTGCGGATGAGAGCGTGTTGTCATTCATTCAGTAGACAGCCATCCACACTCTGGCTGGAATTTCCAAGCAGCATGAACGCATCCACGAAGCTCTGTGGGACTTACTCTGTTCTGTGACGAATCTTCACATAGCTATGATGCAAACTGAGGAAAGTTTTACAACAATGGGAGAGTTTGTCTGGTCACATACACACACACACAAAAAAAAAAAAAAGACAAAGTCTTAAAGAGTCTCCAGTGCTAGAGAAAAGGACAGACATAACCTGTCAGGAATGCATGAGGTAGATTTGTTCTTTCTTCAAGACAAGAGTGTGGATAAAGCTGTCTTGAAACACATCCACAGACCAGAAATGGCACAGCACTAACTAGTGCTTCTACTTTAATCAAAAGGTAATCTGTACTATGAAAGGGCATCATTGCAAATGCCAAGACCAATAAACCCAATCATATTCCCAAAGCATATTTTTTACTGAAGTTAAACAATGTAGTTTCATTCAGGTTAATATAAGACACTCACTCACTCTCTGGCTGACCGCAGCTTATATTCAAGTTTAGTAGAATGATGGTCTTCTCTAGGTGGGCATCTACCATTCCTTCAGCCTTCACTCCTCATGCACAGGCAGATTATTGCTTACACTGGACTAAGGCCCTTATTTGGAAGGATTTGGGTAACTGCTCCCTTAAACAGCAATAAAGTCTGAGCCCATGTTCAGTCATACACAGGACCAGCATTTACAAATAGATAGGGACCTGACCTAAGCTATGAAGAACACTTTCTTTCCACAAACACCCCTCTTCTGATAGTTGTTGCCTTTCTGCAGCATTATTGCAAGTCCTATTAGTAGCGACACCTGCACTTTGTAACAACCATTCAGTCAATAGAGACCAGTGAAGGTCTTGAGGCCAAGGTCCAAGGATCATAAAACAGATTTATCTATCAATGGTATAGCTGAGGTTTCTACTCCAAGGAATCCCAAAGCAAACCTTTACAGGCTGGGCAAGTCTTAAGTTCTGCTTCAGAAACACTACTTGTGATGAGCTGGTGGCTCAACAACAGTTCAAATTCAGCATCAACTGCTGGAGAGGCAGCTGTGCTGCATCTTTGGGGACAGCAGTCTCTTAGCTGGAAAAAACGTTCTCAAAAGAAACCTCCAGAAGGACTGTGGATAGATGTAATGTGGTGCTACATTCATCCACCACACAAGCCACCATTGACAGTCTGGTGCCAAAGACAAGGAAAAGAAAGCCAACTACGGTAGCTCAAGTTGTCCACAAAGCAGGAAAGCCAAGACACAGCTAAGTTTGTAAGAGGGCAAGAGGAGCTGCCCTCTGAGTCTCAAAGAGTTTAACAATGATCTCAGTCCTTCTTCCACTTCATCATGCTTCACATGATGCCAAGGGCTTCCAACCAGGCTGTCAGCTGCAGCCAGCCTGGGTTCAGAACAGACCAGACAGATCCACATTTCTTCCTTCAGCCAGCAGGACAGCCTGGTGCTCAGTAACAGATGTCATCAGCCTTTCCACATGCCACAGTGGGGGCAAGGAGGCAGCACACAATCATCTTAGGTCTGTGCAGGTTCATACAGGCAGCAAGCCCACCACAGAACAGTCTCCCATGTGTGACCCTTGAAGCCTCTGGAATAAAGGGCTTCATCTCTCAGTCTTCTCCTCAAGTCCCTTCCCCATCAAAGAAACAAAAGTTAAAGCCAGGTGAACCTGGCATCATACAGGCTGACAAACCCAACATGTTCTTGGTGCTTTCTCAAAGAAGATGCAGCAGGATGGTTGGGACCTCTCTATCCAAACGGGCTTGTTTGGAAGCATATTTTACATAAACCTATTGCCAGCGTTTACTGCGATGCAGCTGAGCTCATTGCAGCCAACAGTGAGAAAGGAGATGAGCATCTTCTGAGAAAGACAGATTAGCCTTAATGTTTACAGCTGCAGCAAAGCGTTTACTGTAACATTACAAAAAGAAAGGCACACTGGAATAGCAGCACCCATCATCCCCCCCAGGCAGATAACAGTTATCACTAGCACCAAAGAAAGGAGCAGAGCTAAAGGCAACTGAGCTCTTTGTGCCACTCAAGAGCATTTTGCTTGGGAAGGATTTGGGCAATTGCAACAGCAGGACACTGCTAGCACTGACCTAGAAGAACTGCAGCTAAGTACCATTTAATCACAATGACACGCAGCAGTTAAAAAGACAATGCCTCTGCCCTCTGCATCTTTGCTAGAATTTACAAGGTTAACTGTTCACCAATTCTCTCCAGGGAGTTCATACCCTTGCAGAGCTTGCTGAGGCTCTGACATCTAGTCCAGGCTACAAAGGCAATTAAATAAAAATAAATATTTCTAGTAAAGATTTAGGGCATAAGGAGAGAAGGGAAAGTTGTTCCTGACAGCCCGATGCTGGAGAAAAAGGAACAATCCCAGCAGTGACCTTAAGAAGCAGCTTCTGGGACAACCAAAGCTTGCGCTTCAGAGTTATGGGTTCACGCAGGAGTGCTACAAACAACCTGAAGGAGTGGTTTCCTTCAGCTTCAGATCTCTCTCCAGTATCCAAGAAGCACTGGGCTCGGTGCATGACATACTTTCTTGGCTCATCTGCTTATGAGGATACTCAGCCTCACCTGAACAAGAGTTCCCTAACGGTCTGTGACATGGAGGGGCTGGCTGCACACTGAGGAGACCTCCGTGGACGCAGTGCTGCTCAAACCAAGCTAGCCTGAGTTTCACCAGAGCTTCACAGTGCCCAGTGATCCTCAGATGGATATCTGCATTTGCTTGAAAGCTTTGCTAGGCAAGTATTTCCTCTCACACTCCCACTTTTTAAATTGCATGGGAAACAAACTGCCTGCCACCAAAATATAAAGCATTTCTGACTGACAGACTTCCCACTTTGCATTCATCACATCAGCAGCTCCACATTAAAGACCCAAAAGGCCTTTCTGTACCAGTTGTACCCAATTTCACAACCTGACTGACTTCCAAGACCCACTGACAGCTGGGGGGAGTCATGCATGCAGCTGCACAGAACCAAGACAAAGTTTAACTGGAAGGGGACATGACTTCTGCTGGCTGGGAGGAAAACTTGTATATGGCTAAGTACAATCACTTACTGCCAAATTTTTCAGTCCCTACCTCAAGCAAAGCAGCAAAAATGAGCTGCCCCATTTGCTCTGTTTTCTAAGCAAGCCAGATGAGAAGGTCCAAGTGTAAGCATCATCAGATCTCTGTTGTGATCACTGAGCAGACAGACCCAGAAGCTTAGGAGCTCATTATCCCATCTGCAAAGGTTACTGCCACAAAGCAGTCTCAGATTTAAAGGAATGAGATTTACAGCAAGGCTTTGCAATCACTTTCATCAGCTGTTTACATTGAGATACCAATATTTGCATAAAGGTGTCAGGGGCATTCATGAGTTATTTTCCAGCAGCTCTCCTATAGGAGAAGTTTGCTCCAGAAAAGGGACAGGGCAGATAGCTGTGGAATAGCATTTTAAACAGATGCAGCAAAATCTTCTTGATACTTGTGCCCTGCAGACACATTTGTTCCACCAACAAGGCAAAACAAAGCATATCTTTAAAATGCACAGCTGTGGTGCACTCCAGCTCAGTTCCTTTTCCTTAGGCTCTTTTACCGCAGGGCTTTACGCTAAGGCACAGATTTCCCCAGGTCCCTCAGGAGACAGCGAACTGTTCTCCCACATGCCACAGCCTGTCCCAAAAGAAGCTTGGGTAAGACACAGGAAGCACTCTCAGGCTACTCTTGGGAGTTGTGCACAGAGGGTTTCCTCCCTTCTTAAGGAATCACAGACCCTTTCTTCTGTCACCAAAAAACCAATCTGACATGATCTCTGGATACTGCTGTAAATGCTCCTGATTCTTCCAGTAGGGTGACATGTCCACACAAGAGAAAAGCCAGCCTCAGAGCTGCAAAGGCTCCTGAACTGATACCATCAGGAGAGAAAACATAGCAGTTTTTTTTTCCAAGTTTACTTGTTCCAGCTTTCCCCATTGCTCAAAGCAGATGTGTCACCATCCATCTGAAACTGTAACATGCCACTGACTCACATGTCTGTGGAAGTGGAAGAAGCCCATAAAAGCAGTCTTCACATGAGCACCAAGAGGAGTCTATGCCAGTTTGTTCATTCCACAGGCATTTTCATGTTGCTGCATTACTCTGGGAGGATTGCATTTGAGGAACCATTCAGGGATTGAAAGCACCGGAGCTTCTATGAAAATACTGTTCTTAAGCACTCCTTATGCTGAGTAATGAAAGAGCTGTGGGTCAGTCAACCTGTTTCACCTGGGTTCTGCAGCAGACCACCCTGCTTCTGCATACAAAGGATGGACTATCAGGATCCAGCACAGCACCAGGAATGGGAGCCAACACGATCTAAGCTCAGGAAAAGCACTCCTTTCAGCCTCTGCAGACTTTGGGTCTCCTTGGACAGGAGGTATGCAGACTCTGCATTCAGATACATGTCATAAGATCCTTAAATTGCTCTGCGTGGTACTGCAGTTCCACCCTGGTCCCCTACCAACGTTGCAGCCATAGAATCATAGAATGGTTAGGATTGGAAGGGACCTTAAAGATCATCCAGTTCCAACCCACCTGTCATCAGCAGGGACATCTTCCACTAGACCAGGTTGCTCAAAGCCTCATCCAGCCTGGCCTTAAACACTTCCAGGGAGGGGGCATCTACAACTTCCTTCAGCTTCTCACTCACCACCACTCCCAAGTCCTTC